CCGGGGGCCCGGGCGGCGGGGGGAAAAGCCGATGTCCCCGCGACGGGTACTGCAGCAAGCGCTCAGGGAGTGTGTGTGGCCCCCCCATGGGCCTCCACACAAGCACCATACCACACACCATATGTGCACTCACATCACGGTACACACACACGCACACACACAACACAGTACCCTCCCACTCAGTGCTCCCCCAGTACACGCACACTCCACGCCACACTCCACGCCGAAGCATTCTGCTCACTCTGCAGCAGTTTCACACACGCACGCACAGAAGCTTGTAACAGCGCGGGGAGAGGGCCAGGGCTCTCCCGGCCCAGAGAGGTTCAGCCACAGAACCCCCAGGCCGTGGAGCCCACATGCCTTGCCATGCTCTCACCTCGTTTTCTGATTTAGCCCAGGAGGGGGCGTTCCCCTATACCCAGGCTTGGGAGTTCTTACATGGTCCCCAGGGGCCTGGCCTGCCACTCCCTGTCGGAGCTGCTGGAGGGGGGCTGTGCAGTTTCCCACCTGTCAGCTTCTTTCTAGCCTTGAGATGCCTTAGAGGTGGGGAGCCAGGGCGTGTGGCCTGAATCTCCGTGAGTGTGGGGCATGTTGTCCAAGAGCCACTTCACTCAGCAGAGGTACACCGAGGTGTGCTCTGCTGGGTGTGTCCCTACTGCGTGCTTGACGCTGGGTACGTGGGACAGAGTAGGGCCTGGCTGTGTTTGGAGGGTTCACAGGATAGAATCGCTTCCAACTGTGAGGTTTCTAGACTGGCCAGCAGACTGACCAGGCAGGAGAGAGTCTCTGGTCCTGCTCCATCTTAGGGGGGTCTCGTGGCACCAGGTGGGGCCGGAGAAGCAGAAGGAGCCCTTTGTGTTCGCCTCGGTACGGATCCTGGGTGCCTGGCTGGCCGAAGAGACCTCGTCCCTGCGCAAGGAGGTGTGCCAGCTGCTGCCCTTCCTCGTCCGCTACGCCAAGGCCCTCTACGAGGAGGCCGAGGAGGCCAATGACCTCTCCCAGCAGGTGGCCAACCTGGCCATCTCCCCCACCACCCCAGGGCCCGCCTGGCCGGGGGATGCTCTTCGGTGAGTTCTTACTGTCCGTTCATTCTAAAGAAAAGTGTAACACGGGGATACCCCAACTGTCCCAAACTGGGCTACTCCAGGCTTCCTGGGATGACTATGTTGTTTCCCTTAGGATTATTTCTATTTGTTTTGGGGGGGCAGGGCTGGTAACTTCACTTCCCAGCCCCAGATTTCTCCGTAAACGAGAGCTCACACTTACTGGGCATCTGCCGTGAGCCCAGTCTCTGCTCTACCTTCCACCAAAGCAGCCTCATTTGGTCCGCACAGCAGATCTAACTTCCGTCTCAACCACGTTTTAAAGATGAAGACGGGCACCACATGGATGTGGCACAAAGGGGTGATGCTTTGTGAGCCTGGTTCTCACAGGAAGGTTCTGGGTTCGTGTCCAGAGACTTCCCTGAATCCACTGGAACATGCCTGCCCAGGATGCCAGGTGGCAGCAGGTTACGGTTTGAAAACCTTGCCAGGGGTGCTATCTCCTTCTCTGTCTCTGTCTCTCTCACTCATGGAAGAAATAACTTTTTACTAATGCCAGAGGGCATGTGTATATGCCAGAGAAGTGAAAGTGCCCCCCAATGGGGCCTGGTCATGCTTAGTCCTTTCCCTCCAATTTCCTGTCCTGTCAGGATCCTGGGAGTGTGCCCAGCATGTTGCCACTAGGGCCGGGATTTGAACACTGGTTGGCCAGGTGAGATCTGGTGTCCTCTCCACTATGCTATGGAGCCAGCCCTTATAAAGTCCAAATAAAACAAGGAGGGAACTGGCTCAAAGAGGTTCACGTGCCTTGCCCACAGTCACACTGGTGGATCCTAGGCCTGGGCCCGCATGACTCCACAGCTTGGAGTTTGCTGTGGTACCAACAGGGGCATGTCTTTCCTCTCCCCAGTTTCCACTTCTCCTAGGCAGGGTACCCTCAAAAAGGGACTTCTGGGGGGCCCGCAGATGACGATGGTGGCTAGATTCCCAATGGCTGGCTGCATCCTAGACCAGCAGCTTGGACCCCTGTGGGGACCTGTGCACGCATGCCCACCATCCTGAGAGAGTGGAGGAGGAGGCACTGTGGCATGGTCATCCCCCCTGGGTTTTTTTTTCTCACTTTCCCTGTCATTGTGTCTCTCTGTCTCTCAGGTAAGCACATGTGCCCTATGGCAAAAACCTAAAAAAAAAAAAAAAAGGGGGGGGGGGGTTTCTCTGTGCCTTCATCTCTCTTAACCCTGTGCACATCTGTCCCTTCCACACTCAGGCTCCTTCTGCCCGGCTGGTGCCACCTGACTGTCGAGGATGGGCCCCGGGAGATCCTGATCAAGGAGGGGGCGCCCTCACTTCTGTGCAAGTACTTCCTACAGCAGTGGGAGCTCACGTCCCCCGGCCATGACACCTCGGTGCTGCCGGACAGCGTGGAGATCGGCCTGCAGACTTGCTGCCACATCTTCCTCAACCTCGTGGTCACCGCACCAGGGCTGATCAAGTGAGGGGCCTGGGAGAGACCCGGGCAGAGTTGGGACGAGGCCCAGGGGCTGCCTGGTGGCCTCAGAGCCCCGTCTCCTGCTTTGCTTCCCAGTGCCGAGGGTCTCTGTTACTGTGAGAATGAAGGGGCCTCTGAGTAGGCCTAAGCAGCCCCACACGAGAGTTTGGCGTATCTGAGGCCCCCGGGAGTACCTGGGTGCAGCTGCCTGCAGCCAGACCCCAGACGCTCACTGTTCCCTCATTGCTTTGGTTCGGGCTCAAAGTTAATCCTTCACCTGCTGACTTCTGCCTCGTGTTGCTCATGAACACCCTTCCTGTCCCCCCAGGCGCGACGCCTGCTTCACGTCGCTCATGAACACCTTGATGGCGTCGCTCCCCGCGCTGGTGCAGCAGCAGGGGAGGCTGCTCCTGGCTGCCAACGTGGCCACCCTGGGCCTCCTCATGGCCCGGCTCCTCAGCACCTCTCCAGGTAAGCCCCAGGGCCCTGTAATGGGTGAGGCCAAAAGACCCGTGAAGACCTGTTGGATTCTGGGCCTAAGGCACTGTTTTCAGTAAATGGTTTTGCAGAATTTTCCAATCCAGAGGAAATCTCTGCAGAGATCCCTCCCCCACCCCACCTTCTTCCCCAGATGATAACATTCTCTTCCTTCTCAAGACTTTTAAGGCAAGTTCTGGTGGGTGTTAGCACAAGCCTCCCAGAGGCACAGGCACCTGGGAGTCCCAGCAGCCAGGGAACCTGAATCCAGTGCGTGCAGGGCGAAGCCGCCCCCACCAGGCCTGAGTCAGAGCCCTGCCTCCCTCCATTGAGCTTTTTCTCTGCTCCGCACTCAGCCCCTCAGGGCCAGGCTTCAGTGCCCGGGAGCCCCTCGTGCACGCCGCCTGCCTGCCCTGCCTCGCTCTGGCTGTGTGCAGGGGAGGGCCGGCCCCTGTGGCCCTGGCCGCCCTCTGTCTCCCACTTTGGCCGTGGGAGTCAGCTTGGGTCCCTCTGTCCCGGCTGTTCCTGTGCCCCATCTGTCAGGTTGGAGTTACTGAGCAGATGCCTGGGAACACGGTGTAATGTGCCCACCCCTCGGCTGCCTCCGTGTCCCTGTGGGGGATCCCAGCAGGCTACCAGCAGTAGGAAGGGAACCATGTCCCTGGGGACCAGGAGCCCACCCTGCACTCTCAGTCCCAGGCTAGCTGTATCCCCACAGCCACGTCATGGCCTCAGGACTGACCTACATGGCCTCCTGGAGAGCCCCTTCTAGGGCTGGTACCAAGATTCCGTCCCGGCTCATGGTCTCTCTGGCGCCCTCTTCTGGCCGGCAATCAGACTGGTGCCGCCTCCTTAGCCTGTTGAACTCTGGGCAGTGCCACTGCCCGGCACTGCTCCGCCACTGCAGTGATAGTGAGGACCCAGGAGCTCCCACCCCTCAGGGCCTGTGGCTCAGCCACCTCCAGTGCCTGCAGAGGTCTGGGTGGTTGAGCCGCCTCAGGTGATTCTTGTTCTGTTTTTGTTGTAGGGTGCGTGCACTCACCAGAGGGACAGAGAAATCACCCCCCGGGGGATGGCCATGCCACAGTCCCTTCTCCACCATTCTCATCTTGGGATTCAGGGCACACATGGACACACACTCTGTGTGATTTTCTTTTCTTTTTTTTAGAGAGATTTTTGCTATAGGGCACATGCGTTTGCCAGAGAGAGACAGAAAGTGAGAAATCACCCACGAGGCAGGATGGCCATGCTGCAATCTCTCCTCCTCCATTCTCCTCTCAGGATTTTGGGCACTCACGCACACGTGCCCAGCATGAGTTTTAAGCCTCCAGGTCCAGGACTTGAACCCCTTAGTCAATTACGTAGGAGTCCAGCGATTTAGCCATTACATCATCTGCTGGTCCCAACCCTGTGTGATTCTGCAGCCACCAGGTCCAGGACTTGAACTATGCAGCAGGCCATGTGGAATGTGGCTGCCTTAACCTCCTCTCCACCTGCTGGCCCAGAGCATGCTGAGATGATTACATTTAATTCTCACATGAGTTTCTCAGATTAGCACTGTTGGCCCACGTGCAAAAAGTGAGGCCTGAGGTCACACAGAAAGTGTCAAAGGGAGGGTGTGCACCCAGGCTGTCCCTGTCCCCGGTGCGGCCACGCGGAGGAGCAGGTGGTCTGGCGGGCCCCAGGCGTCTGGCTCACACCCATTCCCTCCATGTCTTTCAGCCCTCCAGGGAACGCCAGCATCCCGAGGCTTCTTTGCAGCCGCCATCCTCTTCCTCTCACAGTCCCACGTGGCGCGGGCCACGCCTGGCTCAGACCAGGCAGTGCTGGCACTGTCCCCTGACTACGAGGGCATCTGGGCCGACCTGCAGGAGCTCTGGTTCCTGGGCATGCAGGCCTTCACAGGCTGCGTACCACTGCTGCCCTGGCTAGCCCCCGCCGCCCTGCGCTCCCGCTGGCCGCAGGAGCTGCTACAGCTGCTGGGCAGCGTGAGCCCCAACTCCGTCAAGCCCGAGATGGTGGCCGCTTACCAGGGTGTCCTGGTGGAGCTGGCACGGGCCAGCCGGCTGTGCCGGGAGGCCATGAGGCTGCAGGCTGGCGAGGAGACAGCCAGCCACTACCGCATGGCGGCCTTGGAGCAGTGCCTGTCTGAACCCTGAGGGGTGCCTGCTGGGGACAGACCGGGGGCGGGCAGCGAGGGAAGGAGGGAGGAGGCATCTTCCCTGAAGCCCCCAGACCGGACCCCCTCCCCAGACATACCCCCAAACACCCCAGCTTCTGGCTTTTCCAAGGGCAAGGGCATAGTGCCCACCCCTCAAGTGTAAGGAACTGCGTTCCGCCCCCAGGTCTCCACAGGGGTAGGGAAATCGACGTGGTTGTCCCCGCTGGGCCGGGGAAGGTTGGAGCAGCCCCGGGGAGGGGCACACGAGGTGACATTGTGCCTGATGCCTGGCTCCCCAGGAGAAGGGAGGCCCCAGGGTAGGACAGGGCTGGCAGAGACTGACTGGCTCAGCCCATGTGCCCTGCCGGCCAGGGCGTGGGCTCCCCTAGGCTGTGGGGCCCCCCCGGTCCACGTCCCTGACATCGGCCCTTTGGCTCTTGCCCTCGGCCTTGGGCAGAACAGGCTCAGGCCTCTGACATCGCAGTTCTTCCTATCGACTTAAGTGACCCAGGCTCTGAGCTGCCCCATCCTGCCAGGACATCCTGGGGCAGACAAGCCTGGTGTGGGGAGGGGGACCTCCTTCCACCCGAGCTTCCTCGAGGGGACCCAGGAGTCCTTGGACCCAGGTCTCTCCGCTTCTGTGTCGTGTTGCAGCAGAGTGACGATGGGGGTTGGGGTTATTTATTTTGCCTGTCCTTACCCCAGCTTAGACACCTGAGCATCTAAGCTGTCCCCCTGGCGTGGTCTGGCCTGGCTGGAGCCAGGAACAGGGGACACGTCCCCAGAATCCGCATGTTCTCCCAGTAATTGCACCCCTTGCCACCATGGTGCCTGGCTTTACCTCCCACCCCTGCTATGACTCCTCTCTGCAGAGACGCGACTGGCGCTCCAGCAGGGACTACCTTTCTTAGGAACCCAGGGGGACCTCCCTACACGCCCGATCCCTTGCTTCCCTCCCCCAGTGCGTTCTGTGATCGCCGAGTTCAAAGCTGTGCACATGTGGACACTCAATAAATGTTCATTGGTGACTCGAACCTCCCACCTGTCTGCCCTAGGCCTGCTCACTCCTCTCCCAGCCCCATCAGCTCCCAGCTGCCACCCGCTTCTAACCACCCGCTTCTAACGTGGTGCTGTCTCAACTCCCCAGAGCACACTGTGCAGGAGGCCCCATAGTTCTGATTCCACACGTGACGAAGTGGGCCTGGAGGTGTGCTCGGGGCGTCGCGCTAGGAAGTGCTGGCAGGTGGAGCTCCCCCCCCCATCCGGCCTGCCCAGCCCTGGTGCAGTGGACAGGCAGAGCCTGCTGGGGCATGGGTGCTCCACCCACCATCTCAACATGCTGCCACTGGGCACTGCCACATCTCCCAAGGTTTAAATCCAAAATGAATTTTTGTCATTCTAACTTGTATCTGAAACCCAACTTCTACGTGCTAATTAATTTGTGTGTGTGTATGAGGGCACAGTTTGCAATGGGGCACATGTGCTCGCTGGAGAAAGAAAGTGAGAAATGACCTCCCAGGGTGGGATGGCCATGCTGCAGTCCCGCCTATCCTCAGGATTTTGGATATGTACCCAGTGTGCTTTTCCAGTGACTGGGCTCCGACTGCAGCCAGCCATGTGGGAGCCCAGCGCTTAACCCCCGTTCCACCTGCTGAGTCCCAAGTATTTCTTTCTTTTTTTTCTTTTTTTTAAGAGGTTTTTGCTATAGGGCGCCAGACAGACAGAGAGAGACATAGAGACAGAAAGCGAGAAATCACCCCCCAGGGGGGATGGCCACGCCGCAATCCCTTCTCCATTCTCCTCTCGGGATCTTGGGCACACACGCACATGTGCCCGGCCTGAGTTCTAAGCCACCGGGTCCGGGACAGGAACCACGGTCGATTATGTGGGAATCCAGCGACATAGCCACTCGGCTAACTGCTGGTTCCCCCAAGTATTTATTTCTTACATGAGAGAGACAGACATTCTCAATAGGGTCCTCACTCTGGTCTGTCTGTCCCCAGTCTCAGTTGGCCCGGGTCACAAGCGTCGGCTCATATGTGTGTGTCCAGAGTGCCCAGCACACGGAGTTCTGGACCTGAACGTCAGCCAGTAGTTTCCTTGTGTGGGCCTAGTTTATCAGCACCATGCAACCACCTTTCCCGAGTTTATTTCATCAAGTCACTACTGACCAAAGAAAACACAGACGTCCGGCCTACCCACTGCTGACCTCTGTTCCATGCCACGCAAGAGGAAGGGTTTGAGAGCGCCAGCAGATGAGCCAGACCACCAGGCCTGAGCCGAAGCTGTCAGGCTGGAGCCCGGGCCCACGCCCTCTGCAGACTGCCCCACTCAGCCCAGCCCTGGCACAGCACGCCCTCTGTGCCTCTGGTTGGCTGCACAGAGACGAGAGTAGTCACTGGATGTACGGAAAGCCGTGAGCACAGATCCTTCAGGGTAAGCGTGAAAAGACACAGCTCTTGCATTCAGGCAGCTTAAAGCCTTGGGAGACAGACAAGGCCACGCAAAGGTGTGAGCAGAGGTTTCTACAGCAACTTGGACAAGGTGTGACTGGACCGCGAGAGCCCCTGGGCCTGGCTGAACAAGCCCAAGAAGGCTCAGCAAGTGTGCGCTTTGAGGCCTGCAGGTGAGGGGCTTGCCGAGCAGGCAAGCGGCAGAGGGCAGGATAAGGGCACGCAGGCTTGAGAAGCCAAGTGCGTACCGCCAGTGGGGCCTGACGCAGGAGCGGTGGGAGACGCAGGAGTGGTGGGAGGGCAATCGGCCAGTGGACGTGGGCTGTCACTGGGTCCTGGCGTGCTCTGCTCGGAAGCCGAGACGTGGGATCCTGCCGAGGGTCAAACTGCAGATTCTTGAGCAGATCGAATGTGATCCAGTTTGCATTTTAGAAAAATGATTGGAGCCAGCAGGTGGTGTGGTTGAGGGCGCTGGGCTCCCACATGGTCGACTGCAGTTCGTGTCCTGGACTCGGCAGCTTACTTTCTCACTTTCTCTCTCTCTGGTCAAATTAAAAGAAAGAAAGTTAAATAACTCTGAGAATAAAAAGATGATCGGCTGCGAGGGTGACGGGCGCTCAGGGGCGGTAAACCTGAGCTAGAGCGTGCAGTGAGGACGGAGAAGCTAGGAAGAGAGGTCCGTGAAGAGAGCACCTCGTTGGTGGGGCGGCATGACCGCCTGGAGATGAAGGAGAGTAAAGCAAGGGGACGCGAAGCCCGGGGTGACTCTAGATCCCTGCTCTGGATAATGCGCCATCCACTATCACCGGGACACTGGGAGGACGTGGGCGTGTGGAGAATGAGCTCGGCCTGGCGACTTTGTGCTCCTCATGTGGTATCTGAGAAGCCATCGCTTCTACAGCCTGGTGCTTGGAGAGAGGCTGGGCGGGCGACATATTGGGGGCTGTCAGTATAGAGGATCCTTAAAGCTGGGTGTGGCTGAGCTCATCCAGGAAAGCAAGAACAGAAAAGTCCCCAAGCAAGTGACAACTACCCATGGTCTCTCTGTCACAGGACCATGGAGGAGTCAAACCCTGCACAGTTTCATAATACAGGCGGACTGGACTCTAATGAGGTGCAGTGGGGGAGCTCTGGGCTCTGGGGGGAGGGAGTTAGGCTAACTAGCCCAGGGTGGAGCTTGCTCCTGGTGATTCAGCCAAGGACAAAGGGGAGCCTGAGCTGCAGTTGTGGAATATAACTACAAGGTGGCGCTCCAGGATCTCCTCGTGTCAGATCTCCCTCCCTGCAAACAGTGAGGCCCAGAGCTGGAGGCTGCAGAGGCTGGGATGAAGAGGTGGCTGCTCAACAAAGGAGGAGGCAGACCTGAGTGTTTTCCTAATATGAAGTCCCAGTGCAAGTTCGCTTTTTGGGTTTTTTTTTTAAGGATTATTTTATTATTATTATTCAATTTGACCAGAGAGAGCGAGAGAAAGCTGCCAGGTCCAGGACTTGAACCGCAGATGGCCATGTGGAAGCCCAGCGCCTTAACCACCACCCCACCTGCCAGCCCCCAGGCTCAAACTCGCTTTTTGAAAAGAGAAAAGTTGAGTCCGGAGAAGAGCAATATGCCAAGTTTGCCCATGGAAGTCTGTATGTGTAACATGCACACCCGTGTGCTCTCGTGTACGTGTCCCATGAGTGTCTCCATACATGTGTGCCCTGTGCACACCTCAGTCCTCTGTGTGAACTCATGGCCCAGAGAGCAGGCAACCAGAAATCCCACTTCCAGACCTCAGAAAGCAGAGACCCTGGCCTGGAAAGAAAAAGTCTGAGGGTCCGAAACCATGGGACTGGGAGGTTTGGGGGGCCTCAGAGCAGCAGCAGACAGCATCAAACACCCTTCTCCCCAGTGGCCATGAGCAAAATGACTTGTCTCTCTGATGGTCTCCTGAGTGTGCCTGGGTTCCGCGTCTGCCGGTCAGAGCCTGTTCTCATGGAGCCTTCCCCAAGGATCCCGCGGCAGGCTGGGAAGTCACCCATCTACCGTCTGCTTAATGAGCAGTCACTGACCGCCTGCCACGCTCCGAGGACAGCACAAGACGTATCTTCTGTTAGCTCACGAAGCAGGGCAGTCACAGCTGCAGAGTCCGGAATGCTCACGAGAAAGTTCCGAATCGTCTTCCTGAAGATGGGCCATGGGGAGCCCTAGGGAGGTTTCCATGAGAGGTAACACAGGCCTCTCTCTCTTGCTTGAGTGGAGTTGGAAGTGAGTGGGAACGATAGGAGACCAGCTGGGGTCAAACCTTGGTGCTCTTCGGAGCCACCCTGGAGACTTACTAAAACAAGGATTGCGGGGCTCCACCTCCAGAGTTACTGACTCAGTAGTGGGGCTGGGCCCTGCATTTGGCACTTCTAACAAGTTCCCAGATGTTGTTGGGGTGCTGGCCCAGGATCCCCGCTCTGGGGATTGGTTAAGGTGCTGCGGGGGCGGTGCCATGTGCCCTCTGGAATACACACCTCAAGTCTCTTCTCCATTCAGTCCATGGGGGGATGTTTAAGGGGTACAACGGCAACACCTCAGGAGAATTAGCCCGTTGGGGGTGAGATTTGGGGACAAGTTTGAATGAAAAAGATGGTGCTGTCACTGATGGAACTATAGAACACAGGCAGGATCTAGCCGGTGGCGTGGATGATAAGGCGGCTGGATCCCACATGACTGACTGCACAGTTCAAGTCCCACACCTGGTGGCTTGAAAAACACACGAGGTGCGTGTGTGCACGACCCCAACATCCCGAGAGGAGTCGAGGAGAAAGACGTGCTGTAGCCATTCCCCAAAGGGTGATTTCTCACTCTCTCTCCCTCTCTCTCTCCCCTCCCGGTCAAGGGCACTCACCCTGTGGCAAAACTGAAGGAAAAAAGGAAAAGAACATAGGAGGGAAAGCAGTTGGGGTCAGCGGGGGAGGAGAGATCCAGTCGGGTTTGGACTCAGATGGTTTCAGATGGCAGCAACGAGGTGTCTGGAGGAAACCCCCACCTGGCAGCTGCGTCTGGGTCTGGGTCTCTAGTGAGAGACAGACTGGAGAACACCTGGTGAGGCGATGACAGACAGGTCGCCATTAAAGACTCCACAGGGGCTGAGCTCACTCGTGAAGAGCAGACAGGAAGGAAAGGAAGGAGCTTCTGCTCTGAAAGTGAGCCACCGACATTAAGGACGTGGGTGAAAGGGGGCAGAAAAGAGAAATAGCCAGAGTAAGGGAGACGAGGCGGGGCAGGTATCTTAAGCAGCAGGAAGTGAGGTTATTTAAACCTTGCCCCCAGCCCCCCCCCAAGCCTGCAGGAGAGAGCAGGGGGTCCCAGAGTGGGCCCAGGCATCACCCCAGCTGCTTCTGACTTTTCCCAGGAGTCCAACACACATGCCACGCACTGACGCCAGCCTGGAGCTGGACTTCCTGTGCCTTGTGGCCGAGGCTGAAGATGGGAGGAAGAGGGACGCCCACAGGCTCCCAACACCGTGTGTCACCTACACACTCACGAGCACACTGCGACCTCAGACTCTGGGGCAGGAACGGTTCTGAGCTGCCCGATCCGGCTTCATCCACTGCCACAGCTGGAGGCTCCGGCCTCTGAGAGCTCTCAGTGATGAAGTCGTGGCCGCTAGCCTCCTCTGACCCTGGCCTCCAAGCGGAGGTGACCCTGGCCTGGGCTTGCACCTTCCATGTGCCACTGGCATCTCCACCTGGAACCAGCAGCTCAGAAGTTAACAGTGTCGGGCCAGCAGGTGGCGTGGTGGTTAAAAGTGCTAGATAAATTAATTAAAGAAAAAAAAAGAAAGAAAAAAAGGGATCAGCAAGTGGTGTGGTGGTTAAGGTGCTGGACATTCCCACATGGCTGACCATAGTTCGAGTCCTGGACCTGGTGGCTTGCTTTCTCACTTTCCCTCTCTCTTTCTCTATGTCTCTCTCTGGTCAAATAAAAAATAAATTAATTAATTAAAAAAAAAAAGAAAAAAAAGATGGGAACCAGCAGTTAGCGTAATGGCTATGTCGCTGGACTCCCACGTAGTCGACCACGGTTCGCGTCCCGGACCCGGTGGCTTAAAACTCACGCCGGGCGCGTGTGCTTAGCTCATACTCTCTCATTCAAAGTTTGAAATAAAAGTTCAGAAATCAACATCTATTTGTGCTTCAAAAAAAAAAGAAAGATCTAAGTTGTGTGTATGCATCTATAACTCTTCTTCTGCGTCAAGGTGTTTTTAATTGGCACTAGTCTTTCAAAATGAAGCTATTCTGAAAGAAATCTATTAAGTACATGATTCTATACCACATATGTTAGCTTAAATGGGAACAGAAGTAGGATAATTAATACAAATGTCATGAAACTTTGCAACAGGGAAATGCATGAGCAAGATTAAAATGTCTTGAGTTAAAATGTTATCACTTAGGGACCAGCAGATGGCATAACGGTTAGGTCACTGGATTCCCATGTAGTTGACTGCAGTTTGAGTCCTGGGCCCAGCAGCTTAAAGCTCATGACCGGTGTGTGTGTGTGTGTGCATGCGTGCCCAAAATCCCAAGAAGAGATTGGAGGAGAAGGGATTGTGGTTGGACATCTCCCTGGAGGGTGATTTCTCACTTTCTGTCTCTCTCCATGTCTCTGGTGAGCACATGCACCCTATAGCAAAAATCTCTCACTCAAAAAAAAAAAAAAACTAGTTAATGGTGTCATTTTTGTTGCCCTTTCTCTTTTTTTCTTTTTCTTCTTCTTCTCCTTTGTTTTCTTCTTTTTCTTTCTTTCTGTTCTTTTGTTTGTTTGCTATATGGTGCATGCACCTGCCAGGGACAGACGAGGGAGGAGTAAGAAATCACCCCCAAAAGGGAATGGTTGCAATCCCTTACCCTCCATTCTCCTCTCAGGATTTTGGCCACACATGCACATATATACACCTGTTGTGTTTTTCGAACTGCTGGGTCCAGGACTGTCATTTTGCCAATGGCCAGGTGGGATCTAGCTGCCTTAGCCACCATGCCATCTGATGGCCCAACTCCTTCTCTTCTAGTCTAATACTTTTACTCAGACTTTTCATCTACTGCAGTTTGTCTTCCCCAACATTTTTGTTGTCAAAATTGCAGAAACCAAGATCAGAAAGGAAAAGGAACTTGCCCAGGATCACACAGTCACTCTGAGTCGGGACTAAATTCTAAGCCCGAGTCTAACGTGATTTGGAGCACACAGGACTAAAACAGACTGTCCCAGCTGCTTGACCCGGGACGGGTGATCTAACCTCGCCGTGCCCATTCCTCACCTGGCATGGGAGTGCTAAGGGTGTGCATTGCAAGGTTGCTGCGAGGGTTGGGTAACTTGATATCCGTGAAGTACCGAGCAGAGGCTGGCACGTTCTGTAGTGTTTGCTGAGATGGGTTCTGCTACGCCCTGGTCTGTGCGTCTTCTTGTTTTTTACGTCTCCCTCTGCCTTCTCAATTGCGATTCTGCTGAGCATCCCTCTCATTTGCCTTTGTTTCATCTCTGTCTCTGCTTCTAGGGGCACCAGGGTCGGGCTTTGGGAGAACGAAAGAGGGAGTGACTGTAGAGCCCGTAACATGCTTAACAGCCAGCCAGTGCCTGCCATGGTAACACACGAACACATGGCTGTGCGTGTCAGCGTCACCATCACCCCTTGCATGTGAGTCACTCACACACAGATCGCATGGCAGTCTCTGGATGTCCCAGGCCCACAGCCCGCCAATGCCCCTGGCTGCAGAAGCACCCTGATCCCTTCTCCAGGGCTCGCGCCCAAACCTGTGTCAGGAAACTTTGACGGTCTCTGGCAGGTTTGTCTCCAACTTCCTTCCCCTGGGCTTGGCACTGTGGCTTACAGCCCAGAAGGCCTGAGTGAAGTGAGTGCCTGCAGAAGGCTTTTTTTTTTTTCTTTAAGAACTATTTATTTCATGGGACCAGCAGGTGGCATGGTGGTTAAGGGCGCTGGACTTCCACATGGCCCACCTTGGTTCAAGTCCTGGACCTGGCAGCTTGCTTTCTCACTTTCTCTTTCTCTGTCCCTCTATGGTCAAGTTTTAAAAAAAAGTAAATAAATTTTAAAAAGTTAAATAAAATAATTCTTTAAAAAGGATTTCACTTTACTTATCATTATTATTATTTTCGGTTTGTAACAAGGCTCATTTGCTCACTAGAGAGAGGCAGAGACAGAGAGAGAGAGAAAGAGAAAGAAAGGGAGAACACAAGCTACCAGGTCCAGGACTTCAACCGTGGTCAGCTATGTGGGAGTCCAGTGCCTTAACACCACACCACCTGCTGGCCCCTGCAGAGGGGTTTTGACCCAGAAACATTTCAGAGGGAGGGTGAGGACGCCTTGCACACATGCACATAGATACACATGTGTACATGAGCCAATGGGATTATGTCCACAGTTCAGAACTCACTGCATATTCACGACCACCCACTTCAACCAAAGTCTGGTTAGGCGGTTAGAAAATGACTTACACCCATTTGTCAGACCAGGAGGCTGAGGTCAGCGAAGAGAAGTGCTTTGCTCCAAGAAAGGGACACAACAGAGACCGCAAAGGTAGGGGCCCTGCGTGCCAACCTTGAACCCTGTGTTTCACCGAGTCTGTGTGAGCTGGGAGCCCAGAAGGTGGCTCTGATCAGCAAGGGTTGAATTCCCCCCTACAAATCCCCTCCGGCCCGGCGCCCGCCAAGTCCTGCCAAGGCCACGCATCCCCGTCGGCGGCCGTTGGGGGAACCGTTGGGGAAAAGGGAGAGCGCGGCCACAGCTTGTCTCTTTAATGCGCGCCCCCGAGACCCCGCCCCCCCCCGCCACTATAACTGGAGTGCATGGAGCAGGCTGCGCTCAGAGGGAGAAGGGCGGGCGCGGGCACCCGTCGGCCGACTTTTCCGACTGTGAGCGGCGCCCGTCCATCTCGCCCATGGACCCGCCCGGGGGCGCCTACCGCTAAGGGTCCCACGCCCGCTGGGCTGCACCCCGGGCTGCACCCCGCACTGCTCCGTGACCCTCGCCGACTGTGCCGGCTCCCTGCGCCGCTTCCCGCCGGGCTCGCCGTCGGGCGAGGGCTCCGCCGCCGCCACGCCTCGCGCCCCGCGCTACTCGCCCCATGCTGGTGCACGCGTACTCCGCCATGGTGAGTAATCCCGGGCCGGGGACACCGGCATGCTCGGCCAGAGGTCCGGGAGCCCGAGCGATGGCTCTTCCACGCCCCTGCCCCATGCCAACGAAGTCGGACGCCGCCGGCTGAGAAAGGGGTGCGCGCGCGGGAGACCGCGTCCTTAGCCGGAGGCTTCTGCGCGCGCGGGTCCCTCGGAGCGCCATCGTGGGCCCCGGGAAGCGGGGAGGACGGCAGCTGGGCCCGGCCAGCTAAGGAGGTCCTTGGGGAAGGGGGTCTTTCCGCTGCCAGTGCGCCGCCCAACGCGCCCCTCTGCTTTCCCAG